TTCGTACAACAAATTCCAATAGATCGCCTGTCAGGTTCAGAACTTCGTCCTACTTCTGAGCCAAGCGTTTTCCCTGCCACGGTAGCATTCAATCCGGGCTCAATCCAATCCAGTCGTTGCCCTTTATTCATTCTTGATTGAGTGGTTTTTACTGACTAGGCTGCGTTATCATTGTGCATTCTACCAGTGATGGCCTCCAATTTAAATATTGCATAAACAAGTCTCCTTCCCCTTACACAGAAATCATAGTAAAACAATGGTTCCAGGTAGGAGTGGAGCCAAGCTCTTTGGTCTGACATAATGGTCGAGAAAACAGCAACAGGGAAGACAACCTAAGCACCAAGGAGAAACAATTTTCCAAAAGCAGCGGGACATGATACAGCGGACGCGATGAAATCAGCAACTGAAGAAGAAAGCCAGCCTTTTTTGTCAGTTACACAGGACCTTTAGAAGAACAAAATAGAATACTAACCAGTTGGCTCGGTGGCGTGGCTAAACGTGAGGTCTCTAGCACCTACTGGATCCCTCGACGGATCAGAAACTAATTCTGGCTAGGATGAGGGTATCTGACTGTCTGAAACCATTCAGGACAGCCCCATCGGAGTTGCTTACGGGATTCCATATTAAGGTATCATGCGGAAAACGAATACAGTCTTTCTTCGCCCCCCCTCCGAAACCAAACCATCCATAGTTGGAGACACCCTACTGACAACAAAGTGGACTGCAAAAAGTGAATTATAACCCCAACCAACTCCACATTGATGAGTTTGAAGCGCTCAGAAAGCCTCATGATGAACTTGGTGACGCCGCGTACAAAGCCTGTCAACTGAAGATGGAGAGCGCATTTTCCGGTTCAACATGCTCTATGCATTCTCAATCCATTTATTGCACCAATTTTTTTCAACCATTCTCGCTTGTGTGCTCAAAGGGCAGCACTGGCTTTAGCCACGTTATCAGTGCTCAGTTCCAATTCCCAGACGGCTTTTCTCCGTCGTCACAGGCAAGCGAACCTATAGCAGCGAAACTTAGGCCGGGGGGAGAAAACCGCAGAATTGTATACGTGGTTTGGTCACGTTTCCATAAGGAGGTTCACCACTATTCTCACTGGCTCCAATACACCAGGAGTACAAATTGGTTTTCAACTTTCATAAAAGACTCTCAAGTGGAGCAGAACGGGAGTTGAGAAATAACGGTGAAGAAAGATGGAAGGCGTCAGCAGTCACGTGTTTTCGCTTATGTGCCTTGATGTATGCACCAAATAAGGCGGCATGACTGATGTCACTAAGCGACGACCGGTGTGGCACGAAAGTTTGTGGTTGTATGTGGGCTCGGCTGCTGTCAGGACGCCCAGATATATTCAGGAGGACGATTAAGGTCATCAACTAAAGCGCTTGGTTCAATAGCCTGACCGTAAAGCAGCGGTGATTGGCCTGAGACTACTCGAGTAGACCCAATTGCAAGAAAAGAATTGTCACACTTATTCCAACCTCCAACCTGAAAGGCCAGGAGACTGTTTTCTTGAGAGCTGTATCCAGTGACCACCCTCGCAGAATGGACTCTGTGTATGTTGCACAGATATCCTCCAATATCTCTGAATGGGTTGTTGGGGTAGGCAAACCGGCGCACCACGATTAGGTCCAGTCTCTGCGATGGAGATTGAGTTAATGCTTAATAGTGTATTCGAAGCATTGAACACCGGAACTACGAGGTTCCCATGAGTCTCGCAGTAGTTTTTGAACAGCTGTTGATAAAGTCTTGAAGATAGTGAAATGACTACGTCCCGGCCAACATAGTGCCGTCGCATGTGTAGAGTCATCTGAATATCGTAGCCACTGGCTTAATCACTTGTAAGAAGAAAGTTTAATTGGAAAATGTTGCTTCAGAACTCGAAGGATGCTCCATCCATCAAAACTAAAGTATATGGAATTCATGGTGGATAAGGCTTGACTTCCGCCCGTATTATGGGCGGCTGAAACCGGTAACTCTAGTTGATCCTTAAGACTCACAATATAGTAAGGTTAATTTTCGAGTACCTTCATTAACACTCCCGTTTTGTCCCAAACTTCACTCTACAAGCTCATTTTTCTCAGAGTCGGTGTTAGACTGTCTCTGGCTTTCTGGTACGACCATAAGCGCGTTCGCGGAGGATACAAACACTACGTAACAGGTCTGAGTCGAAGCTGTTGGTGAAATAGGTCGGTATCGGGTAATCTCAAACGCGCTCAGATTTACTTGTGACCTAATAAGTTCACAACCACAGCCAATCAAAGGGTGGGAGAGTTTCTATTTGCCTATGGTCAACCGCGACAATGATCCATTGTTCATGACTGGACACTTTATACAGACAACTACAGATACCACAGACAAACATTTCGTCGACAAAAGCTTGCCTTGCACCGGCAAAGTCTCATTGCCTAGTACCACATAGGAGTTGACCCATGAAACACGGAGGTATCACGAGCCGTCGTTTCAACACGACGAGGAAGTGCCCTGTGTCGTTCCGAATTCGGAAAGAATGTTGCTAGGGTCTCATCGAGGCGTTGGTGATTCCACCATCGGTGAGAAAATTGGTCCCGCAGAGCAGTGGCATACAGCGGTGGAAAGAATATGATCAACGGCAAGACCGACTTGAACGAGAAGCAAACTGAGTTATGTGTTTAGTACAAGTACCCGTACATGAAAGTACTACTCATAGTGAATCGAAGTATCCCTCGCTTTCGTGGTTCTATCAGCCGGTCACCGACAGTGATATCAAGTTCGGAAACCTTCATATTCGGTTATGCAATCCGCCGCTTAGTGCTTTCAGTGTCCTGCACTACCTCTGATTAGCTCAGTTAGACTGTTGCAATCGAAAACTTTCAATTGAGGTTTTGTCCAGTCAATGAAAGCATTCTGTGCTGAAAAACAAATAGAAGCACTCTACAGCTATTTCGTCCATATTTGGAACCGTCTCATGAAACTCCAAAAAGTTTCGAACCAGTGACTTTCCGGCTGACTGACAGTGTGATTAACGAGTACTGAGACAGGACGGAGCCAGTAACTGAAACCACATCACGTGGTCACATTTTGACTATGTGATTTAATACTACTATCCAGCTTCTCGTAGCCGAATGGTCAACTGTTCAACCACTGTCCTGAAAGTCGCGAGTTTGAAACTCACTGAAGTTTCGTGAAATGCGTCCTGCTGATAGCCCCAATGAGGATGAAACTCCTGTACAGGGCTTCTTGACTTTTCAGTAGAGACTGGTTCCACTTACGGGACGGAAATTACAGGATGAAAACTACCAAACCTCTACACAAAACCATCAGGAGTTGAAGATGTCACAATCCACTCCGTCGAATGAATCATGCATCCACTTTTCCGTCGCTACGGCTTGAACCGTTGCGTGCAGATAAAATCACTCAAGTTCGAGGTGAATTAGTGTGGTTACGATAAATGACTGTTTGTTACACTCTTTGTGCGATGACTTTACTCAAGCAACCCAATAGAAAGATCGTACCCATAGATGCCTGTAACTACAGATCAGCGACACCTGATAGGATGTTCCACGTATAAGAATCATCCTCACCAAATTACTTCAGGTAGCTGCATGACTGTCCGCCAAACTCTTCAACCACCATAATCTGATGACTTTCATCGCCGATGGGTTATGACAACCAGTCCCTCACATTCGTTCTTCTATGGCTAAATTATGCCTCGAGCTCAAAACACATGACATCCGAGAAGCAAGAACTAACATGTGGTATGGGCTCAAGTTAGCTCGGTGGCTAAGGCGAGAATTTACTGACCGGAAAACTCGAGCATCTCGACCGCTCTCGTCTAGAATCAGACACCTGATACTATCTCAGCCCTCGTACTTCCTTTGGGTGTCTTTGCAACTAGGCCCCCAAATGGTGCCACTATTTATTTATTTGTGGTTTACTATAAAAATACTATACTGAGCTAAACTCAGCCTACTTAAATACGCCGTGTTTCCCCTCTAAACCAAAATGACTCGTCAGCTAACCAATGGAGAACGTAATCCATACAGAACAAATGCATGTTGATAACAAAAAACGGACGTCATCTATGATGATAATAAACCAGTAGATTGACAAGAGTTAAATTTGTGCTAAATCACTTGCGATACCAAAACTGCTGGGTTCGCATAGACTTGATCTTCTTCTGAAGTTGTAATGTGGCATACAGCAGTGCCTCGGCGGATGGAGGGCAACCTAGATGCAGAGGAATAACAGAGTTAAATCAATTATCCCAGTGTGAAGAGAGACGGGTTAAAACTCAAATGTTGGTGTAAGAAAACATACCACAAAATTGCGTTGAACGAATGACTCCAAACCTATGTTTAGTTATCAAGCAACTGGGTTCTAAGTTCAAGATGACAGCTTTATCAAACCTTGTCACAACTAAGACGAATATAGTATAACTAAAAACAGGAAAAAATACATCTAACTAGGCTACGTGGCACCTGGAACCACTTCTACTGAAAACAGGTCTATCATTGGAACCCTAAGGAAATCCTGGGATATTTCACACAGACACACACACACAGAAGAAGGAGACACACCAAAAGAAGCTGAAGTCAGTAAAAAGTTAAGGAACCAGGATTCAGTTTAGGGTGAAATTTGGGAATGTGGCGCTTACGGTTGAGCATGTTCTTGGTGACCACTTCAGAACCATTCAAAGCCGTTCTCAAACATGCGATCAAAAAGCTGACACAGGTGCGTCTAAGTGAGCAGAAGTGCTCGGACCGTACGCATATCATTTGGGTAACTCTAGGCATAAAATATACAGCTTTCGTTGGGCTGGATGAAGATGCAAAAGGAATTCCAGTGAGAATTGATGTCCTTGAAAACTATATGATTGTCTGAGGAATGGTCTTGAGACTGTCAAAGGACATAACACAAGATTACGGGAGCAGTCAAAGTTCCGTTTGCGAAAGACAATAGTATTGTTGGTTTCTTTATTGCGCTTCTTAAAACCAAATTAAAAAGAAGCTGGTTTGCAGAAAGAAAGCGCTACAAGATACTCAAAGCTCATGGCGATTTCCCTCACTGGTAACGATATGAGACAACCTCTGTGTGACTTCCAATAAGGGAGTACTCACAGACAACAAATGCACAACTGAGGCTTGACATTTGACCAGATATACTAGTCGCAGGTCTACCCTCATTCAAAGTCCAAACTATATTCAGGATATATGAGATACGTATGGCTGATAGCAAGATGACAAAGTGGAAGAAAACACATTCCCATATCACGAAAAATTGCCCAACAATGTACGGGTGCAGCCGTTGCGTAACACACAGAGAAGTTACGCCATAAACGAGTCATAAACGAGTGATTAGTCAGGGATTCGCATTCTCGCTTCCCAAATAAAATTTTATTCAGTTTGGTGTTCAGGCAAGATAAAACAGTAACCCAGCGGAGACGGAGGGCTTTTAGCAATCCAATGAGTAGTATGTTATTCTGATGCTTCTCAGCAATCACGTGATTTTCCTTCTGGACGCTTACATTTGGGTTCTGAATCCGCTCACTACTCACAGCACATTAGTAGCCCCAACTGTAAAGCTGACTGATTTTGGCACGTAAGATGTACATCCGTTTCCTTCTGTAAAGAGTATCTACGCGAACAGAGTGGAAGTACCAATGGCTACAAAAAGAATCATCAGAGAACTAGGGGGATTAAAACCTTTCTGTACATGTCCAGTTGGGTTTTCTTCCTGTAAGCGAAATCATTTTGTACCTAAAAGCGAAGGATCCCGGTGCAGTTGAGTGCGTTTTATCGTTTTAGGGTATCATCAACAGTGTACAGTATGATTAAGCGCCCCCATTCCTTCAACGACAGAATCCATATCCTCATATTACCAACAATTTTAAGTAATTCATAGGGAAGATGAATTCACTAGTCGCGTGAAACTTCCGGCTGATAAATGGTCGTTTGAGGAGCAAGTCGACATATGGTCACATGATGTAGATCCCCTAACTGAAGGACGAATAATACTGTATCCTGTCAAAGTGCGACTTAATCATATTGCGAGCGTGACTGAAATGTTTAGCCTTGAGCTACCAGCCCGGTGGTTGTGAATTCAAATCCCGCTAAAGACTCGTGAGCGGCATGTTGCTAATGATACCAAACAAGGATGAAGCAATTGTACAGTGCCTTTTGGTATTTTGACACAGATTAACTCCACTTACATGAGGAAAACTCAACTGAAAATTTTCAGATTTCATCACGCTATCAACAATTTTGAAAATTGTTTTGTTTTGTACATTTGTAGGCTCTCTTATCGCCTTTCCAGATAAACTGAACTGACATTTCATGATGAAAACCAGCGGGTCGAATAAAGTAATCCAACGGTCGTGAAATGAAGGCGGGTCGAAAAAGTAATCCAACGGTCATGAAATGAAGAAAAACCGCCAGGATTTCTGTACGCGCGTATCCCTCCGACAAAGTATACATCCAAGGATCACCGGGGGAAATACAGCAAAAAAGGAGTAGTTAAAACTGAATCCAAAAATCCGAGTATGCCCACGTGGCAGGGTGGTACACTGAAAGCGGCGGTTTCATCACACGGTCTTAGCCGTGCGAGCCTTTTCTGCGTAGGAGGGCCACCGTTCAATATTTTACCAGCCTTTGGCTCCTGGATAACGCTTTCCTGATAATATTAGAGAACTTGACTTTACGTTGTTGAGTCTTATTTTGTGTAGATGTGCTGGCCCTTAATGCATGTGCCCGTAGTTGGAACATCACCTGTAAGGAACTTGTGCTCTTTCATTCGTACAAAGTAATGTTGTACAAACAAATCTGTTTCCGGAACACGCAGGTATGCTTCGAAACGGAATTCAGGCTCGATAGATCCACACAACCGTTCAATGAGAAGATGCGTACAAACTACTTAAGTATTTCTCTTGAGAAAGGCTTGACAGCTTGTCTAATGTCACGTGTTCATTAGTGGATTCATTACATTTCAACGGTGTAGCTAAATAAATAAACGAATCAGGTACCCCCACATACTGGGAGGAGTAAATTTTGCCCTTCTGGATGCAAGCCCCAAACTCGGATTGTCTGACTAGGTGCTCTCAAAGTTGGGTCCCAGCGGCTTCACTGTTTGCTTACCTTCCCAAGACGAGTACTGGAAGTGGATCATCTACTGCTATACACCAGTGAAGTATTGATTTCCATGCTAGTAAAACTGCTCACGAAAATGATGATGACCGATTGAAGATTTTCATATTCCTATTAGCCCAATGGTCTGTTTGTCCATATGGACTGGAACTATCAATATCGTAACAAACGGTGTCCCAGTTATGGTACAAACCAGTGCTGTCTAGCCCCGTTATGGTCTGTCTGGAACACACGTCTAGTTGGAACAAAACGTCGCAATCACGCGACCAGACAGTCGGTCGATTTCAACTCAAGGTTACATTTCGTTATCCGCCTGTAGGGATTAGAAATAACCGGCCGAAAATCAATAAGTTATGTTCCGAAACCTCAAATAGTTTCGAAAAACTGTCAGCTGTTTTGCAACAAAACTGCGCAAACTGATTGTAATACATCGTCAGTGCGCGTAGGCATGCATTGCTAACTATGTCTAAAACAGTGGAAAAAAGCTGCCAGATCGTCCATTACAATGCATATTGTGGACAGGAAATTTCTTGGGCAAATCGGGCTACCCCCGGGTAACCAATTCTGCGCTGAACCGAGGCTGTGGCGATCAGAATTTGAAACCAGACGTGTGTGTAGGGACACATGGTGTTATCATTTACTCTACCCTGGTAGGATAAAGACGAGAAGATGAGCGACCCACTCGCCCATTCTCTATCACCAGTCTACCCCCACTTTACCCCTGTTCCCACCTTTGACCCTAACTCGTTTGACCTGAAACATCCTTTGTCCGCCTTTCACATACATTTAGTATTGATCTCGGTCTGACGGTGGCCAATCGCTACATCCACAGTTTTTTATCTCTCGTACACATACTTTATTCAGTGGAATAAGACCTCACGAAACTCTGCAAGCTGCCATAATCCTATCAGAATGCGTTTTATTTTTAATGTGACTGTTGAGTTTGTTTCACATTCGAAAAGTGTATTGATATTCAACATTTCAAAGCACTCATCAAATGTCCACGATTCATTAATATCAGACTAGGTTCTTCAGTATTTCGTATCTTGTTCTGATCGGTATCGATCATAGTTACATTGAGTGTTCCTCCCCTGAAAAGTAATTGTCCAACCAATTAGATGCAATTAGTCACACTTTGAGGCAACAAGCAGTTTTATTAGTTCAGATGAAAAATCATCAAAGTCGTGTCTGACAAAGATTATCGTATGATCAGTTGGTAGTGGTTGGTGGATTTGTAAAATTCTCGTTCACTTCACTCCGTCCTTATTGTGTTCTGGTGAATTATGCTGGTGAGTTCACACCAAACGAGGAGGCACTGGGGTTTAACTTCGCTCTTATTAGAGCTCATCCGCTAGCAGGGTGCAAGTGAGGCTGCTGTGCCTCGTAGTTGGTCCTCCTGGTACAGAATCATTGCAGTACACCCCCCCCCGACAAACACTAAACCACTTGTAGAGGTGACTGGGATCAATTCTAAAGAATGCAGTCCACCACGCGTTTTGTCCCAAATTGTGGCTCGTCAGGTAAACGAAACTAACTGACCAAATGACTGTATGGTTACAAATAAACATCTGTCTGTTTAACCCTCATCCACCAACAGGGTCGAAGCAGTTGACTAGGCTGAACATTTGTATCGGATCCCTTGTGAATCCGCTCAACTAGGAATGAAAACGTGACTGTCTTTGCAAACCATTTCTGTCGACGAGTTATAAATAACTGAACCAAACAACGGGTAGAACTTACCCAAATGTGCGCACCGAAAAGGACTAAAAAAGGCTGTACTTCTTAATTCCGGTTGGATATGGCATAAGAGAACAGCGGAACTCTCAGAAGAGAGGGAATGCCGGGAAAGTCACAACAAGGTAAGAAGAGCTTGCAAACAAACGATGGCTCATGAGAAGTAAGCAGACGGGGTAAGACCTGCACTGAGGGCGAAAGACGAGCCGATAATAGTGCGTCAATCACAGGAGAAAAACAAAGAACAACTTTCTGGCGGTGATGGACACAAAAGGGGACAACTGAAGCTAACCAAATGAGGACCAAAGAGTCTGTGCGAGGCCTTGCTGCAGTACATCGTACTTTGAATCCGGGGTGCACATGTTCCCATAATAGACGGGTATTCACCTGGGACGTACTTTATTTCCATGGGAGCAGAACAAAGGCATTCTATGCGGACGGACCACATTTCCGTATACTCAAGGATTTGTCCTCTAACAGTGCAACACTTCTAGCTCATATATACAGTCAATCAGTAGTGTGGTGTTCTGTGCCTTTATTTTGCTTCCATTATAACACAACGTATTTCGTCAATTACATATTTGTTTTTTTTTGTTTGAAGACGAAAAAATACAAAAACGCGCACCTGTACAGTTTCACGCAGTATAAACGTGGTCACGTGTTTCGACTCTCTTCTGATTTCGCTCACGCCTACAGCGGTCATTTCGCGAGCCTCATGTGCTAACTCTGGTATCAAAACATTTCAGACCATCTTCGGAATCTATTATATGCGGGAACTGTTCAGAAGAAGACTTCTGGACCACCATAATTGGATTATTGTTTATTCGCTGACCTGGGCCAACGAAGAACTATTTTAAAGAAAAACAATCATAGTGAGTCTGTTCCATTTGACAACTTTAATAGTGTATATTCAATCTGGCGTTATTATTTTTATTTATTTGCCACACACTCCTGGTAAAGTAACTTATTGGGTAGCCAGACCACTACGGTAGAAATAGAAGACTCTCTCAAAAACGGACGGTCTAGGGAGAAAATCTGCAATTGTGGGAGTTATTGCGACTACAGACCCAACTGCCTAACACTGCCCCACCCGCACAGTTTAAAGACGGGGGTGAAGTCCTCAGTCAGCGCTTGTCCGATCTGTTTGCTTGCATTTGGGAAACGGAGTCTGTCCCAGACAACTGAGGAGCATCGTTGATAGTACCCGTTTTCAAAAAAGGGGCGCGTAGTGAGTGTGGTAACCACAGAGGGATCAGCTTGACCCCGGACGTAACGAGACTGTTGACGTCAATTGTGCTTCGTCGCCTTACGGTGGCTCGCGAGATGCTGACTCGAGAGCAGCAAGCCGGATTTCAGCCTGGTAGGGGTTGCGTTGACCAAATCTCCACACTTCGTCAGGTGCTAGAACAACGCCATACGTGTAAGCGACCCACAATGCTAGTATTCCTGAATTTCTGAGGCGCATTTGACTCCGCTGATCGGTCTGTCCTTCTTGAGACGCTTGCCCACCAAGGAATGCCCCGGAAGTTTGTAAACATAATACGTTCTTTGTATTCTCAGACTCGGATGTGTGAGGGTGTAGGGTGATCTCTCCAAAAGCTTCCGTACACAAAGCGGTGTCTGTCAAGGATGCCCACTTTCTCCATTCCCTTTTAACTTCGTGATCGATGAAATAATGGGACGAATGCTGGAGGGACTCCAAAACTCTGGTGTTCCAGTAGCCTATGACAAAAACCCTGTCGATCTGGAATATGCAGACGATATCGTTCTCATGTTCGAAGAGGAGGAAAAGGCGCAAGTATTCTTGGATGAACTGACCAAAGTCATCCCGTCCTTTGGTATGCACTTTGCA